TTCTTAATTTTAATCTTCTGTGACTCAAGATTGGGGGAAGCCAGGCATGGTGATGAACACCTGTGTCACAGCTACTCAGGAGACTGAGGCAGGAGGATTACAAGTTTCAATCCAGTCTGGACGTCTTAACGAGACCCCCCCCAATCTCCAAATAAAATTTTTTTAAAAAGGGCTCCCCTGGGCTGGGGATGTGGCTCAAGTGGTAATGCGCTCGCCTGGCATGCATGGGGTGCTGGGTTAGATCCTCAGCACCACGTAAAATAAAGATGTTGTGTCCACCGAAAACTGAAAAATAAGTATTAAAAAATTCTCTCTCTCTCTCTCTCTCTCTTTAAAAAAAAAAAAAAAGGGCTCCCCAGCCCTTTTTAGTTCAGTGGCAGAGCTCTGCTAAGCGAATCTTTTATACAGGGCCCTGGGTTCAATTTTGAGTACCACCAAAAAAAAAAAAAAACAAACAAAAAAATTATGGGGAAGGTGCAGTTTTCTATCACCAGAGGTCACTGTTTCCATTGTTTCTAGGATTGCTGGCTCTCAAAATTATATTACTTTTTATGTTACTAAAGATGTAGCATATCCCTAGCTTTACCATTGAATTTGGAGAATCTTTGGGTCAACATTTGTGTATTAGTAATTTTACTAATTCTTAGGAGCTCATAGGTCTACAAAGAATTTAGTACTACAGAGCTAGGATTGTGGCTCAGTGCATGTGTGGGGCACTGGGTTCAATTCTTAGCACCGAATGTAAATAGATGAATAAAATAAAGGTCCATCAACAATTAAAAAAAATTAATAAAAAAAGAATTTAGTATTATAAAAATGTTATAAATAAAATGCCCTGGAATGTCAAAGGAAAAATAAAAGTTTATGGGATATTTTAACAGTCTCTCTCTCTCTCTCTCTTTTTTTTTTTTTTTTTTGCAGACAAGGTCTCAACTGCCCAGGTTAACCTTGAACCTCTTGGCTCAAGTAGTCCTCCTCCAAAGGAGCTGGAACTATAGGTGTGAACCACCACACCCATCCAGGGCTCCCTTCTTTTTGATTCATCATTCTTTATTTATACATCCAATTTTTTTTTTGGTACGGGGGATTGAACCCGGATGTGCTCTACCACTTAGCTATATCCCCAGCCCTTTTTATTTTCTATTTTGAGACAGAGTCTTGCTAAGTGCTTAGGGTCTTGCTAAATTTCCCAGACTGGCCTTGAACTTGTAATCTTCCTGCCTCAGCCTTTGGAGTCACTGGAATTACAGGTGTGTGCCACCAAGCCTGGCACTTCCACTGTTTAAATAACTGATTTTTCTTTTTTCCTTTATGCATATAATTGAATTCACATAAACTGAATGTAACTATATAAATGATGCCAGTTCATTGTTTTTATGTGGTTTTGTGTGGTGTTGACTTGTCTGATATAAAGAAATAAATCAAGGGCTGGACACTCAGCTCAGTGGTAGAGTGCTTGCTTAGCATGCTCAGGGTCCTAGGTTGGATCCCCAGCACCACTCCCACCCCACCCACCCCACACCCCAAAAAAGGAAAAAGTAAAATGGAGCTTAGATCTGCTTTGGAGGCCTGAGCATGAAGTGTGCGGGGTGTGACTTTCCACAGAGGACTCCTCACTCTTTTTACTGCATGATCCTCTGTATCCACTAGCAAACACCAACGGAATACTGTCTGGGTAGAGTTGAGTCTGCAGTGCATATTRTTCTTAAATGTTTTTGCAATGTATCAAATGTACAGTGATTGCAAATATTTTTATTCTATTCCATCTAAGAGAAAATAATGTGAAAAAAAGCTTCTTTTATGAAAGAACCATATGTAAAAGTTATAAACTTCCATTTCTGGTGCATCCGGTTTTAGAAACCAACATTATCATTAGGGGTCTTTTTTATTCCCCCTAGTACTAGGGATTGAACTCAGGAGTATTTCCACTGAACTACATCTCCAGTTCTTTTTATTTATTTTTGAGACCAGGCCTTGCTAAGTTGTGGCTGGCCTTGAACTTGTGATCCTCCTGCCTCAGCCTCCTGAATTGCTGGCAAAATTTATTTTTAATTGAGACATAATAATTGCAAATATTATGGGATACAATATGAGAATTTGATGTATGTATACAATGTGTAATGATCAAATCAGAATAATAACATTTCCATCTTCTATTATCAATTTCTTTTTTTTGTGGTACTGGGGATGGAACCTATGGCCTTGCACATGCTAGGCAAATTCTCTACTACTGATACATGCCCAGCCCTAATTTTTTTTTTTTTAAAGCTCAATGGAAAGCATTTTATTTTTAAAATTTTTTCAAATTTTATTTTTTTAGAAAGAGAGAATTTTTTTTTAATATTTATTTTTTAGTTTTCGGCAGACACAACATGTTTATTTGTATGTGGTGCTGAGGATCGAACCCAGGCCGCACGCATGCCAGGTGAGCGCGCTACCGCTTGAGCCACATCCCCAACCCCAGCCCCAATTTTTTTGTTATTTGATATCTCTGTTCTTTGTGAAATAATTTCTCCTTAAGAATAACATTAATCTTTTCTGGTACAGTACCTTAGATTGTTTAGTTCTTGTAGGTTCTCATTTTCCACGTTTTGAAGCTAGTTTAAAAATATTCATTTTTGGGACTGGGGTTGTAGCTCAGTAGTAGTTCACTTGCCTTGCATGCATGAGGCACTGGGTTCGAATCTCAGCACCACATAAAAATAAATAAAGATATTGTGTCTATTTACAACTAAAAATACTTTTAAAAAATATTCATTTGTGGGCGGTGGGTAGGGAAGAATGAAGGAACTTTGGATTGTGCAGAGGGAAGTGAAGGGAGGGGTGAGGCTGTGGGGTTGGGAGAGACAGTAGAATGAGAAAGACATTATTACCCTATACACATGTATGATTACACTATTGGTGTGACTCAGCACCATGTACAGCAGAGGAATGAGAAGTTATGCTCCATTTTTATACAATGTGTCAAAATGCATTCTACTGTCCTATATAACTAATTAGAACAAATTTTTAAACAGAAAAGTTTAAAATATATGTACATACATATATATGTGTGTGTATGTACGTATAATATATATAAATGCTCTACTGCAAATCTGGTCACACTAAAATATCCATGCTTCAGCAAAATATTTATAAAGTCTTTGCAAAAAGTGAAGATTTTAAAAATTAATAGTATCTCTCTTAGTCTTTTTTGCACTAAAAAACTGAGAATGTAGATTGAATATCCCTTATCCAAAATACTTGGGACCAGAAGTGTTTCAGGGTCTTTGGGATTTTTGGAATAGTTGCACGTACATAAGTAAACATCTTAGGGATGGAACCTGAGTCCTAAACAGGAAATTCATTATTGTTTCATATACACCTTATACTTATAGCTTTTAGGTAATTTTAAACAGTATTTTTAGCATGCTTACATTTTTTTTTTTCCAGTACTGGGGATTAAACATAGGAGTTCCTTACTACTGAGCCACATCTTCATCCCTTTTTATTTTTTATTTTGAGACAGGGTCTTACTGAGTTTCACAGGCTAGGCTCAAGCTTGAGATCTTCCTGCTAGCCTCCTTAGAATCCATTAGGGATACTTGACCTGTATCCCTATGCATATTAAAGATAATTCTCATTGTGATTATCTGGCAAGTGAAAAGGRTTTTTAGGAAGTAGTAAACCTTTAAAAGAGTGTCTGGCTTTTACAAATAGAAACTCATTTGTTAACTTATGAGGTTTCCTTAGAGGTACAAAAATCTGTAGTCAGTGAGAATTTATAAGAAGGACTTAATTGCGAGATTCTATCACATTGACTTGCATGATGGCAAAAATAGTGATTTCTTCCCCTGTCATGTTTTCATGGTTTTTTTTATGTTGTTCGATTTTTTTTTTTAACAATGAAAACAGTCCTAAGTTACTTGTATAATRTGAAAAAAGTTAAAAATAAAATAACATATATCAAGTATAGAGATTTGGAAATCATTCCCATCCCATTCCTATAATATGAAAGACAAATAAGCCTTCCATCTAAAAATAACCTTTCTCGGGGCTGGGATTGTGGCTCAGCGGTAGATCTCTTGCCTAGCACATGTGAGGCCCTGGGTTCAATCCTCACCACCACATTAAAAAAAAAAAAAAAATTAGGGCTGGGGATGTGGCTCAAGCGGTAGCCCGCTCGCCTGGCATGCGTGCGGCCCGGGTTCAATCCTCAGCACCACATACAAACAAAGATGTTGTGTCCGCCGAAAACTAAAAAATAAATATTAAAAAATTCTCTCTCTCTCTCTCTCTCTCTCTCTCTCTCTCTTAAAATAAAATAAAATAAAAACCTTTTTCTTTCTGATTCCCGCCCCCCCCCATATTGAGTATTGAATCCAGGGACACTATCACTGAGCTACATTCTCAGCTCTTTTTTTATTTTTTATTTTTAGACAGTGTCTTGCCAAGTTACTGAGGCTGGCCTCAAACTTGGTATCCTCCTGCCTCAGCCTATGGGGTAGCTGGATGACACATATGCCATGCTGCTCTTGTTTTTTTTTTTTTTTTAATGCTAGAGATCCAATCCAGGGATTTATGCATGCTAAGTAGGTAGCTTCAACCTCAACTCCTAAAAAAACCTTGGCATATTGGCTATCAAGCTTTTTTTAAAAAAAAACATACTTGTACTGGTATATCTACATAGAATAGTGGTATTTGTTGTCACATTCTTGTACATGCACACAATATAACAATACAATTTGTTTCGTTAGCTCTCAGACCTTATACATATTTACATATAAACATACACTTAAGTTGGAATTCTTTTTTGATTGAACATGAAGTATTTTGTAAAGTTGTCCATTTGATGAATCTACTGAAAAAAAAAGAATCTAGTCAGAATCATAGAGTAAAGCTCTTCTCAGTAAGTTCAGGAACAACACAACAACCGTGTTAATTGTTATCTTGTTAGAAATGGAGAGGTTCATGTTGAAATGGCTGATGAAAAGTGTTTAATAATTTTTGTTCTTAAATAGTAGAGAGAGAAAAGAGGAAAGATGAGTTACTGGATATTGCAAAGTCAAAACAAGAACGTACAAATTCAGAACTGCATAATTTGAGACAGGTATGTTCCCAGTTATCTTTCTCTCACTGTTAGGAAGGAAATGTTCATGAACAGACTAAGAAATTGTACACTGGTTAATTTTGTCTATGGCACTTTTGGAATCCTGACTACACTAGCCATACATTTAGCATAGTCGATCGGGTCTTGCTTATGGTAATTTAAAGTCAGCCATACTAACAAATATTAGGGTGAACTTAGGGAGAATAAAGGCAAGCAATGCACACTTCTCTAGCAAACTATCTGATGTATTAAGGTTTGAAAGTGACAAATTGTAGCCTCCATTTAGCTTCATTGTTATATTTTATATTGATATATCACTATCTATGGCAGATTTATGTAAAACAACAGAGTGATCTCCAGTTTCTTAATTTCAATGTGGAAAATTCTCAGGAATTAATTCAGATATATGATTCAAAGATTGAGGAATCGAAAGCCCTGACATCCAGGTAATCTTAGCATATGCTGTTACTATGATCTTGGCTTTTATTTCATCATTGGATCAATATTTACTTTGTGTTTACCACAGGCCAGGACCTACTACCATTCCTCATGTAGTAGGAAATACTATATATGAGCTAAAATTACTAATAGTCCTAGGTTATGGTGAGACCTGATTTGAGAATTTTAGGCATGATTCTAATTTAGCCACTTGATAAAAGTAAAATCATTAGATCTGATCTGTATTGGGTAGAAGATAGGCCAGAGGTAAACCAGTTCTTCATTCAGTTATTCACTCATTCAGCACCCACAGCATTCAGGCACTAGGCCAGGAATAGGGAATAGCAAGATGCATAGGACTTAATACTTGCCTCAAGAAATAACGTCAAAAATGGCATTGGTATCTGCAGTTGGAGCTCAACACTAAGGGTTGGCATATTGGCTCTCAAATTTTTTTTAAAAAACATTTGTATTGGTGTATCTACATGGAATAGTGGTATTTGTTGTCACATTCTTGTACATGCACAAAATATAACAATACAATTTGTTTTGTTAGCTCTCAGACCTTATACGTATTTACATATAAACACACACTTAAKTTGGAATTCTTTTTTGACTTAACATGAAGTATTTTGTAAAGTTGTTTAAAGGTTATTTTGAGATCCCTGCCCTCAGCCTGATTTTCCTGTTTGCCTTATCAATAGGAGACTACTTTCCTAACTTGTACCCAATTTCTGTAAAATTAAAGTATAAATATATAAAGTTAGCGGGCATAATAACTAAACAATTAAATTTAGTCTGCTTTTTCAAGCAGAAATGTTATAAGAAGCCATGAAAAGGAAGAGGGAGTAGAGAAGTTCCCCAGATCTGTATTGGATTGACATTGATGGCATCTCCTTTCCCTGGAAGAAAATGTAGTGGGATTAGTAGCTGCAGGAAACCGGTGTAAAATATTGCTACAGGCAGTGTAGCAGGAATTCAGCTGTGCTGCAGCTCTTATTGTGCTTTCCTTCTGGGGCCTCTGTTAGAAGTTATTACCCTGTTGCTCTGTGGCCCAGCTGCTGCCACTGTCAGTAGACACCAGTTCCACCCAGGGTTCTTTTGTGGGCAAAATCCCCTGACATTGTCACTTTTTCCTCTTTATATGTCAGTGCCACTTAGAGGTATTTGATGAGTTGGGATTACTCCTAAAAAGCAAAAAATGGCCTATATGCCGTTTTGAAAGGAAAGAGTTGTGTTTTCTAGGGGATCAGACCAATACAGATCAGAATACCTGAATACATGCGACATGAGAAATCTTAAAGTAAGGTATGCTAACAGGTTTTGTCACATTTATGTAGTATCCTTGATTTGGTGGGAGTGGGTCATTTATAAAGTAAGTACAGTAGAAGTTAAGGATGAGAAAGGGGAAGTGCTTGTAGCTTGGTGGTCAAAAAGATTTCCTGGAGGAGATCAGGCTGGAAGTGGGCTCTGCATATCAGACCAATGGGTCTTATTGGGATTTAGCTCTAATGAGGCATATGAGAAATACTTAGAATAATGATATCAAGTGTTTTATAACTTTCCTTTTTTGTAATGCCACTATAGCAGAGACATGTGTTTATCAGACCTTGACAATAACCACCTAAAAGTCGATGCTAAGACGGAGAAAAGTCAGAAGTCACTGGTTAAGGACCCAAAATTTGAAACCACATTGACTCAGCAAAATAGGCCAGACAAGATTTCTTGTGAGGTATGCAAAGGGAAGAAACTACAGATTAATACTGAATCTGGGGAAAAAAATATAATTGCTTTATCATCTCTGTTTACAAAAGACTTAATGGAAAAACAAAAATCTTGGTCTCTGGGTGGAAAAATCCAGAGTGAACCGGAAAACAAAATCACATTGTGCAAGATCCATGAAACATCATCAAAAGGTGGTGGAATTAGGTTTCAGAATGAAGAGAAGCAGCTCTGGGAAAGTTCAGCATCTTTACCTGATGAAAAGCAGTGGCATGATGTCAGTGTTTACCTGGGCCTGACCGACTGCTCTGATGCAAAGCCACCTGAAAAGCTGGATGTGGACTGTCATGACTTGATGGAAAAGTCTGAGATGTCATGTGGCCCCAGGAATGAAGGATGTCAGAGTGACAGTGACCTGTATGAATCCAAGTGCTGCCACCCGAGTAACTTCATAATCGAAGCCCCAGGTCACATGTCTGATATGGAGTGGATGAGCATTTTCAAGCCTTCTAAAGTGCAAAGAATTGTTCGCCACAAATCTGTGTGCACTTGTTCATGAAGTGTCAGTGCAACAAAATATAACTCCTCGGCAAGGTTAGTGATGCTCACATCTATATGCCAGCACATAGTGTGTGTGCCAGAACATGCAAGTTCAGAGAGCTGCAGTAGCCACCTCGTGCCTCCTGTTAAACCACAGCAGTGTTTGCAAAGGAAATCTTAAGACAGACCGCTTACCCCTTGCATAGTCAGTTGAGTGCTTGATTATACAAAGGCTGTATTAGATTTCAGAGAGGAGTTGATCCTGGGGACTTCTGAGGCAAACATTTGGCTTAAAAACAAAACCAGTAATGAGTTGGCCAAATATGTTTTATTAAAATACAGATGGGTGGGTCACTGTGCAGAATGGAATGCTGCTCTGAAGCATTCCTCACCTCTGGATCTATTTGGAATCAACAAGTGTATCCTTCTGTGTCCAGAGTGCATTATTTTAACCACATATCAAAATTTCTTTTTGCCCTTATCCAGGGTCACTTGGCATATTCCCCATCCAATTGCTTATCCTGGGTCCAGCTTATATCTGTTTTCAACTTTATAGTCCCCCATTTTTTTTAAATCATGTAAGCGAATATTTGTATTTAATAAGCTGATAAMATTTACTAGGTTTTTAGAGATGAAAATGGATTAGATATTAGCAGAGGCTGAATTATTCAGGTTCATCTTTTTAGATTTGCTGAATCTTGTGGGTTGAGTGGCGCTGTAATGTCTGCTATTTTTAACAAAGCATAGCTTGTAGATTTTAAAATACAGAAAGGATGAAGTTTCTATATTGAGAGTCTTATTTGAATTATTGTATTGATTTTCATTTTAAAATTTCTTTCTAGTACTTATTATTTGGAGTGTTCTTTGACCCTTTTAGAAGCTTCAGTCCTTTAAAAATCATATCCTGCCATTTGCAAAAAAAAAAATTAACTTGGTTGTTGCATTAAATATCATCTAGTCATATTTGGTTTTTAAAAATCTTTGGGTGGGGCTGGGGATGTGGCTCAAGTGGTAGCGCGCTCACCTGGCAAGCACAGGGCGCTGGGTTCCATCCTCAGCACCACATAAAAATATTGTGTCCGCCGAAAACTAAAAAATAAATATTAAAAAGTTCTCTCTCTCTCAAAAAAAAAAAAAAAAATTGGGGGGTGGTTGCAAGTAATCATCACTAGGGGACAACGTTCTGTTTGTCACTACTATACAAGAACATTCATGTTAAGGGAAAAGCTTGTGTTGGATAGTTTTGAGAGCATAGAGGAGCAAATTATATATAATTTATATGTTAAACTTAATGTATAAAACAAATTCAAAATCACCTTTCCTTCTAAGGCCCTTTTGACCTGACTGACTTAAAATAATTGAGGTAACTGCTTGTTCTGCCAGTGGAGGCACATGCCAAGGCATCACATGACAGATAACGTGACTAAGTAGGAAAGATAATTATGTTTTCCTATTTTTCCGTAGATTACAAGAACTTGTATGTCCACTCTATTATCTAAGTAAAATATTCGCGTTTGTGCCCCCATTCCATTTGACAAATAGAGGTTTGCCTGTGGAGAGAGAAGCCACAGGCACCTGCTCTTCCATGTTCTCTAAGACCCACCAACTGTAGGAGAATCAGCCACTGTGGCACCGTTTCACTTTCACAAAAGGCTCCATACAACTATTGACAAACTTGGCCTCGCAAACCAAAAACCTAACATTTTCACAAGTTTAACCTTACTCTGCATTAATTTTCCCCTTCCCTTTTGGATAATCCTGTCCCTAGAACTAACCTACCTTCCTTCCTTTAGTGTTAGCAGAGTGAATTCAGTGCCTATAGCATGCTTAAGCCCCTGCCCCCCACCACACCCTCTTAGTGGGTTTTTTTTTTTTTTTTTTGAAGAGGGAAATTTCGTGTTCTGTAGTTACCCTTAACTACAAATATTGTTTTAATTCTTATTTGCAAAAGATGCATTAATTTCCAATATTATACTCAAATTAGAGCTTCTTTATTTAAAAAACAACATGTTGGGCTGGGGATGTGGCTCAAGCGGTAACGTGCTCACCTGGCATGCACAGGGCACAGGGTTCGATCCTCAGCACCACATAAAAATAAAATAAAGATGTTGTATCCACCGAAAACTAAAAAAAAAAATTCTCTCTTTCTCTCACTCTCTCTAAAAAAAACAACATGTTTTGTCTTCTTGAGATACTTTCAAGTATGATACTGTATGATACATGTAGGGTATTGCTTTAAGATAATCTGTTTATGTTTGATCTTATTATTCACAGTGAGCTAATTGCCATCCAACATTCCCACTGTTTGAGTTCTTCAAAGTCTGCCCTAAGAGAGGATGAGACAGAGGCCCCTCCTGATAAAAATAATTTATCCAAGGGTTTGTTAATCAACAAAGAAGCAGCTTTGTCCAGCAAAAAGGTTTGTGTTTTGTTTTATCAACTCCTAGTTTATTCAAGCAACATTTCTATCCAACATGCTTCAGTTTTTCTGTATTACTTTCACATAATTTTGGCCATTCCTCAGTTTTTCAAGTTATAGAACTTTAAGGTTCTTTCTATTTATATTTATTTGGCGGGGGGGGGGGGCAGAACCAGGGATTGGACTCAGGGGCACTCTGGTTGTGTGTATGTTGTCTTCCAGCAGCTGTACTGAAAAGATTCAGAAACTATAGCAGGGATAGATATTTTTTCTTAGTTAGAAGCTATTTAAGTAAAAGGTCTTTCTCCTTTTTAAAAAGATAATTAAGGGCTGGGATTGTGGCTCACTAGTAGAGCACTCACCTAGCGTGTGTGAGGCCCTGGGTTCAATCCTCAGCACCACATAAAAATAAATAAATAAAGATATTGTGTCCAACTATAGCTAAAAAATAAATATTTTTTWAAAAAGATAATTAAAATTGGTTTACCATCTGATTTCAGATAATGAATAGGAAAAATAAGCTTTGATTCAGTAAATTTAATTTTGTAAAAGTTTTATTTCCATATTATGATTCTTTACCTACAGAGCCTGGAGGAAGAAGAAAAAAAAGGAAGATGGAGTTGTTGAGAGTAGGAGTTTTTTTTTTTTTAAATATTTATTTTTTAGTTATAGTTGGATACAATATCTTTATTTTATTTATTTTTATGTGGTGCTGAGGATCGAACCTGAGGCCTCGCATGTGCTAGGCGGGCGCTCTACCGCTGAGCCACAATCCCAGCCTGAGAGTAGGAGTTTTGTTTAAAATATGTTCTTTAGGGGGCTGGGTTGTAGCTCAGTGGTAGAGCACTCACCTGGCATGTGTGAGGCACTGGGTTTGATCCTCAGCACCACATTAATAAATAAACAAAGGTATTGTGACCGTCTACAACTAAAAAAACATTTAAAAAATAAAAAATATGTTCTTCAGACTAGAAGCATCATCACCTGAGAACTTGCCAGAAATGCAGTTTTACAAGCCCACCCAGGACATATTGTTTTATCTCAGTTTTTTCAGGTGTGTGTGTATGTGTGTGTGTGTGTGTGTGTGTGTGTGTGTTACTAGGGTTAGAGCCAAGGGGCACTATATTGCTGAGTTACATTCCCAGACCATTTTTAATTTTTTATTTTGAGACAGGGTCTCACTAGGCTGCTGAGGCTGGCCTCACACTTACGATTCTCCTGCCTTGAACTGCAGAGTCATTGGGATTATAGGCTCAATTATTATTATTTTTTTTAAAGAAGATTTTTTTTTWAAATATCTTTATTTTTATTTATTTTTATRTGGTGCTGGGGACTGAACTCAGGGCCTCACACATGCAGGGCAAGCGCTCTACCACTGAGCTACAACCCCAGTCCACAGGCTCAATTATTTTTAAATTAATCGTTTTATACAAGGCTGGAGCCTACAAGTCAGTGTTTTGTCTGGATTATGTGATTAATCAAAGTCCAAATTACCCACTTTTTTCTTTAAACATCAGTTGGCTTTAGGCAAAGTGCCCCTTGGGTCTTTTAGGTGTTTGATATATAAATATGTATGTATGTCCATTTTTTTTTTTTTTTTTTGTGATAGTGGGGATTGAACCCTGGGATACTCTACCACTGAGATGCCCACCCCTAGCCATTTTTTTCTTATTTTTAAGAGGCCAGGTCATGTTAAGTTTCCCAGAATGACCTCAAACTTATGGTCCTCCTGCCTCAGCCTTCTGAGTCCCTTAAATTACAGGTGTGTGCCACCATGCCCAGCTTAATTTTGTTGTTGTTGTTGTTTTGTTTGCACAGAACTGGGGATTGAACCCAAGGCTTTATGCATGCTAGGCAAGCACTCTACCGTAGGGCCACATCCCCAGCACTTTTTTTTGGAGTTGGGGGAGTGGAGTGGGTACTGGGGACTGAATTCAGGGGTACTCGCCCACTGAGCCACATCCCCAGCCCTATTTGTATTTTATTTAGAGATAGGGTCTGAGTTGCTTAATGACTCACCATTGCTGAGTCTGGCTTTAAACTTGTAATTCTCTTGTTTTAGCCTCCTGAGCCGCTGGGAATACAGGCGTGTGCTACCCAGCCCAGCCCCAGCACCTTTTAATTAATTAATTAATTTTATTTTAATTTTTTCTGGTACTGTGGATTGAATCAGGGGCCCTTTACCACTAAGTTACATCCCCAGTCCTTTGTATTATTTACTTAGTTATTTGGGACTGAGGATTGAACTCAGGGGCACTTAACCATTGAGCCACATCCTCAGCCATTTTTAAATTTTCTTTAGAGACAGAGTCTCACTGAGTTGCTTAGGGCCTCACTAAGTTGCTGAGGTTAGCTTTGAACTTGAGATCCTCCTACCTCAGCCTCCTAAGCCACTGGGATTACAGGCATGTGCCATTGCACCCAACTGTTTTTTAAAGTTTGAGACAAGGGTCTTGATAAGTTGCTGAGAGTCATGCTAAGTTGCTGAGGCCTCGAACTTGTTATCCTTCTGCCTTAGCCTCTCATGTTGCTGGGATTACARGTGTGTGCCACCACTCCTGGCTTTAGTTTTTATGTTTGAAACAGAGTCTATGTTGCCTGGGCTGGCCACATGGCAAGTTTGACGCCAGCTTCAGTAACTCAGTGAGATCTTCAGCAACTTAGTAAGACCCTGTCTCAAAATAAAAAATAAAAAGGACTGGGGATGTGGCTCAGTGGTAAAGTGTCTCTGGGTTCAGTCCCCAGAACCAAAAAACTAATCTTTCTGCATCTGCCTCTTGAATAGCTGGGATTATTGGTGTGTCCTACCACACTCCAGCTTTTATTTTTATTTATTTATTTATTTTAGTTGTAGATGGACACAGTATCTTTATTTATTTTTATGTGGTACTGAGGATCGAACCCAGTGCCGCATGCGCACTCTACCACTGAGCTCCTCTTGCTTTTATTTTTAATTAGTAAATATTTTGTACAGTAGCCACAAAACAGCAGCCCCCTTGAAGGATATGAAGCCTTATTTTTATTTTTATTTTTGTACCAAGGATTGCATTCAGGGGCACTTGCCCACTGAGCCACATCCCCAACCCTATTTATTTTTTTATTTTGAGACAAGAGTCTCACTAAGTTGCTGAGGCTTTGAACTTGGGATTCTGCTGCCTCAGCTTCCAAAACCACTGGGATTATAGGTGTTTGCCACTATACCTAGCAAATAAATATTTTAAGCATTAGAAAAATGAAGGCTATAACTGGGCACAGTGGTGCATACCTGTAATCCCAGTGATTTAGGAGGCTGAGGCAGGAAGATTGCAAGTTAAGGCCAGCCTCAGAATCTTAACTAGGCCTAAGCAATTTAGTGAAGCCCTATCTCAAAATTTAAAAAAGAAAGAAAAGGATACTGGTGTTGTAACTCAATGATAAAGCCTCCTGGGTTCAATCCCCGGTACCAGGTAACAGAGGAAGAAGAAGAAGCAACTGTGCACCTACATTAGGGTTTATCAGATGTTTACATTTTAGGATATTTGCTCTATTTTTCTTTTTGAGGTAATAAAGTAGGAATCCCACCTGCTATTTTCTCCAGGCCCTCCCAGTTAACCACCATTCTGAAGTTGATTACACATTGTTTTTATTCTTTTGCTACATAAAAGTACATACATAGGGGCTGGGGTTGTGGCTCAGAGGAAAAGTGCTTGCCTAGCATGCATGAGGCACTGGGTTCGATCCTCAGCACCACATAAAAATAAAAATGAAGGTATTGTGTCCACCTACAACTAAAAAATAAATGTTAAAAAAAAGTACATAAACATTACATGATGCTATTTCGTTTGTTTTTATTTATTTTATCATTATTTTTGTGGTGTTGAGGATGGAACCTAGAGTCTCGTGTGTGCTAGGCCAGTGTCTACCACCAAGTCCGCTCCCCAGCTCCCAAAGTTGAAAAATAACAAGAATAAATGAAAGCACAGCTTTATGTTCTAAAAGCTTATAGGCTCTTAGTATTGAAGTCCCATATGCAGATAGTTGTATCTGCTAATTATGCCTTCAAAAATTTATTTAGGAAAGTAAATTGTAGCAAAATTCTGTTAAAATCACATTATTTAACAGAGTAGGTTCTAAGAAATAAAAGGAATTTGATCAATATTGATGTCTTACTTTGCAATATCTAATCATATATTAACAGGTAGCTACAACTTGTGACTAAAAGTTGTGTTTGTAAATATAAACACTTAAAAATATTTCTCAATTTTATGAATGCTCAAACTATTAATCCTTCTAGGAAGACTTCTCACCCACAAGTAAGCTTCAGCGATTGCTGGCAGAATCTCGGCAGATGGTCACRGATCTGGAGCTGAGCACACTGTTGCCCATCAGCTGTGAGAATTTCGACAGCAGTACCAGAAGTGTGCGTTTCCTTTTCTTACGGCTACACGGGTAGGATCTGGACACTCCATGAGCACTGGAGTGCAGGTGTCGCGGGAGGCAGCCTTTCTGTTAGAATGAGAGTTCCTTTATGTCTCCAAGGTAGGAAGTTGGCAGCTTGCTTTAAGGAGAAAGGCTCAAATATCTCTTCATCCAAACTGCCTCTGCCTCTTTGTAATTCCTGTTACTTGGACATGTGAGCATGAATTCTTGGGAATAGTTTTTTATGTGTATGGTGCTACAGATGAAACCCAGAGCTTGGTGCCAAACACTCTACCACTGAGTTAGAACCCCAACCCAAATTCTTGGGGATTTTTAAAAACACAACATTTCAATTTTCAACATTTCAAATACACAAAAATTTCAAATGCGAAAAATAGAATAATAACAGTCACTCACCTTTAACAGTCATTAACTTCTTGCCATTTTTGTTTTATTCCCCCCATCCAAACATGTTTTCTTCTGAAGTGTTTTAGAGCAAATGTAAGACAATGTATCATTTCACTCATAAATACTTCATAGTTGTCTGTATCAGATATGGACTTTTAGAAACAGCCATAAGATTATTATATTCAACAGAACTAACGGTATCCTTAATATCATCTGTTGACTAAACCATCTTAAGTTTTTCCCATTTGTCTTAAAAATGTCTTTTTTCTCTTTGTTCAAATCAATATCTACCCAAGGTCCATACTTTGCATTTGGATATGGCCCTTAAAGTCTCTGTAGTGACCAACATTTCCTTTCTTCCCACTTTTCTCTTCCTCCTCTTCCTTCCTTCCTTTCTCTTCTGTTTTCCTCTTCCTTTTTCTCCGTCTTTTCTACTTTTTATTTATTTGGTGCTGAAGATTGAACCCAGGGCCTTGTATATGCTAAGCATGCTCTGTACCACTATACTCCCATCCCTATCTTTAGTTTTTTAAGGCCATTCATGTGTGGAAGAAACACTGGGTCATTTGTCCTGGAGAGTTACCCACATTTGGAATCTCACTGACTCTCTCTTTGAGTTAACACTTTCCTCTGTCCCCCATAATTCCTGAAAACTGGCATTTAGATTAGCAATTTGATGAGACTCTTGATCAATTTGGGGTTTGGAGTTTTTAAAATTTTGGCATTGGTCATTCTATCTGCTTCCTGTTCTGTCACAGCAGGAGGGCCCTAATATCTGGTTGTCCCATAAAAGATGTTATGCTTGATGGGTGTGTTTGGGAGTTTGTCAGCCTGAGCTTGAATATTACCAAGTTTCTCTAAAATCACTTAATGATTTTAGCATTCTCTGATTATTATTTAGCATTCTCTGATTATTATTTAGCATTCACTGATTATTATTTAGAACACATTACTTCATTGGGAACTTCATAATAGTCATTTTCTAAATCTGTCATTCTTACAGGGAAAATGACATGTTAAATCTTTTTTTTTTTGGTACTGGGGCTTGAACCCAGACACACTCTACCACTGAGCTATATTCTCACCCCTTTTAGTTTTTTATTTTGAAACAGGGTTTTACTAAAATTGCTATGGCTTTAGTTGCTGAGGCTGGCCTCAAACTTGTAATTCTTCTGCTTCAGCCTTCTGAGTCTTTGGGATTTCAGGTGTGTGCCACCAAGTCCAGGTCACACGTTAACTTTAACTGCTTATTTTAAGCACAGTAACAGTTCAATGGCAGTGATGTAAGTTACTCTGTAGATTTTATGGCATCATCGTAAATAGTGAAAAGAATGCTGGAAATCAGGATAGTTGCTCAGTTTCCTCATTGTAAAATATGAGCTTAGAACTGGTGCTTTAAGATTCAAGGTATTTTACTTGGGTGTGCTATGTGAATATTTAAAGATATTTGAAAGCCACTGAGTTAAATTCTTTTGCATCCCTGACCCAAAACCAAAATAAACAAAGCAGGTCTTCAAGAATACTGAAAGGCTTTTGTATTAACCCTAGTTGGGGTGCAGCTCAGGGGTGGAGTGTGTGCCTAGCTTGCGTGAGACCCAGGGTTCCATCCCCAATACTGAAAAGAAAAAAAAAGAACCTTGTTGGAGTATAATGCCATACAATAAAATGAAGACATTTATTAAGAATGTCTTTAATGATTATTTTAGTACTTTAATAAAAAACTGATATTAAAAAACTGGTTTGATAAGTTTGGACAAATGTGTATCCACCCATGCAACCAGTATTCCAATCAAGGTACAGAGCATTTCCATCACCCGAGAGGTCCTTTATGCTCGTTGAAGTGAATCCCTCTTTACCACTGTGTGCAGTTTCTGATCTGATTTTATCATGAGAGACTAGTTTGGCCTATTCCAGAGTTTTGTGAAAGTACAGMAGTATGGCATGTGCACTCTCCAGCTTTTTCAGTGTGACTGAGCTTCAGCCAGGCTGTGTATCAGCACTGTGTTCTTTTTTAATTGCTGCATAGTAGTATTCCATTATGTGACTCTTCCACCGATTATTTTTTCTCCTCTTGGTGGGACATTTGTTTCCTCTTTGTGGCTACTATGAGTAAAGCTACTGTGGACATTTTTATACTAGTGTTTTTATGTATGGATATTTTCCTTTTTGTTAATACCGAGAAGTAGAGTTGCTCGTGATACAATAATGTATATTAGCTGGGCCTGGTGGCACATATCTATTATCCCAGAGACCAGAGACTAAGGCAGGAGGGTGGCTTGGAGGTCAGCCTCTCCATTGTGGCAAGATCCTGTCTCAAAAGAAAAAAATAAAAAGGGCTGGGATGTAGCTCAGTGGTAAGGTACCCCTGGGTTCAATCCCCAATACCAAAAAAAAAAAAAAAAGAACAAAAGAATAGGTGTACATTTGGGCTGGGGTTGTAGCTCAGCGGTAGAGCGCTTGCCTAGCATGTGTGAGGCACTGGGTTAAATTCTTAGCACCACATAAAAATAAATAAATAAATAAAGGTCCATTGACAACTAAAAAAAAAAAAAAATAGGTGTACATTTAACTTCTTAATAAACTGCCAAATTGTTTTTCAAGTTAGTTCTGCTAGCTGTGTATAAGTGTTGTAGATGTTCCGTATACTTACCAATATATACTTATGTCATCATATTTGATCTAAATTGTTCTGGTAAATATGAATTAGCATATTATTGAGATTTAATTTGCATTTGTTGGCTAATGATAAACATCTTCCTGTGTATTCATCTCCACTTATTTATGTTTTCCTTTTTTCTCTTACCATATTTTATAATTCTCATTGTAGGGATCATATATATCTTTTGTTAAATTTCTCTCCTAATATTTTGTTTATTGAGGCTATTATACATGGTGTTTTAAGGTTTGAGAATGTATTTTTATTATTTGTTGGTATAAATACTGTAAATTGGAACTTTGCTGCATTCATCTATTCTATATTTTCTAATAGACAAGCATGTCGTTTGTGAGCAAAGAAAATTTTGCTGGGCATGGTGGTGTATACCTATAATTCCCAGCARCTAGGAAGGCTGAGGCAGGAGTATTGCAGGTTTTAGGCCAAACTCAGCAACTTATCAAGACCCTCAGCAATTTAGTGAGACCCTGTCTCAAAATTTAAAAAGATAAAAAGGACTGGGGATATAGCTCAGTGGTAAAGCACCCCTGGGTTCAATCCCCAGTACAATTTAAAAAAAAAGAAAAAGAAAGAAACTTATTTTTTCCCAGTCTTTATGCCTGATTTCTTACAGCTCTGGCTAGGATCTTCATATGAATGTTGAATAGAAATAGGGGGAGCAGGTGTCTTTGGCACATTCCCTGAAATACTCGCTGGCATTTCTTGCATGCTATCTTCAGTTGGCATTGTGTTACAATGAGCTGTCACACAGCAGTTTTCTTTGTGACACAGATGATCCAAAAGTTAGCATATTTGCCATGTTAGAATCAGCATGCTCCTTCCAGAAACCTAAACAGGTAGTTACAAAGGTTACCTTTAAAGAAGAATAAAGCTCCAGGGCTGGGATTGTCGACTAGCATGCAGGAGGCACTGGGTTTGATCCTCAGCACCACATAAAAATAAAATAAAGATACGTGTCCACCTGTAACTAAAAAATAAATATTAAAAAAGAAGAAGAAAAAGAAGAAGAAGAAAGCTCCAAGATGGACATTGTAGAGAAGCTTGTAGTCTCAGGTATGCAGGAGGCTGGAGTGAGAGGATCACTTGAGCCTAGGCATCCAAAACCAGCCTGGGCAACATAGCTAGACCCTGTCCCTCAAAAAAGAAAAAAGAAGAAGAAAATGGAAATCCTATCATTTGTGACAACATGGATTAATCTAGGAGACGTTGTTAAGTGAAATAAGCCAGGCACAGAAAGACAAATACTGCATGGTCTGATTGACATGCAGCTACATGATCTGATAAACTTAGGGGCACAGTGGCACACAACTGTAATGCTAAAAACCTGGGAGGCTGAGGTAGGGAGTAGCAAGTTCAAAGCCAGCCTTAGCAATTTGTTGTGACCCTGTCTCAAAATAATAAAATAAAAAGGGCTGGGATGTAGCCCAGTGGTAGAGCACCCCTGGGTACCAAAAACATTTTTTTTTTTTTTAAATAAAATGGTCAAACTCACAGAAGCAGAGGGTAGAATGGTAGTTATCAGGGACTAGAGGAGTGGAAGAAAAGGGGAAATGTTGGCCAGAAGATACAAACTTTCAGTCAGTGGAGGAATAAGTTCAAGAGATCTATTATACCTCATAGTGAGCATCATTAATAACAATGTATTATACACTTGAAATTGCTGAGAGAGTAGATTTTTTTTTAAATGATAAGTACATGAGATTGATTTGGCCCTTCCAAAATGTATACATATTTCAGAACATCACAACACAAATATATACAGTTTTTGTCAATTTAAATAAAAATAAATCCTCACTTCTTTTCTTTGTGGTACTGGGGATTGAAACCAAGGTCCCAGGCATGTATTGTACCACTGAGCTATTCTCCCAGCCCTAGAAACATTTAAATAAATGTTAGATATGTGCTACTCAGAGGACTGAGGGTTGAGGCAGGAGGATCACAAATTCCTGGTAAGCCTAGACAACTTAATGAAACCCTGTCTTTAAAAAAAGAAAAAAAGGCTGGGGATGTTCCTCAGGGGTACAGAACTTGCCTAGTATGTGTGATGCCCAGGATTGATCCCCAGTACCCGCCCCCATACAAGGTATGTCACAAAATAGCAGTTTTATACATGTTAAATGGCTATAAAATACTTAATTACCACAGTATGTATGGTGGGGACCTGAGTCTGCTTGTAGATTGGCTTGTTGAGAAGTGATGCAGGGCTGTTGCTGGGTGGAAAGCCGTAGCAGCAGTTGGACCTGTGTGTGACTCACAACATGGGCTGGGGAATGTTTCAGGGTGAGTGTGTCTTGAGTAGTCCCACATGGCCCAGTTCACCTGGGTACAGTGTGCCTAGTGTTCCTTATGGACAAAATCGTACATAAATGCAAACTTCACATTAAGCCCGAATTGTCCACTAACATACCAGATTGTAATAACCCATTCTTGTTTTCTTTTTTTTTTTTTTTTTTTTTTAATTTTTTATTTATTTTTTTTAGTTTTTGGGGGACACAACATCTTTATTTGTACGTGGTACTGAGGATCGAACCCAGGCCGCACACATGCTAGGCCAGCGCGCTACCGCTTGAGCCACATCCCCAGCCCCCCATTCTTGTTTTCAAAGCAAGTGTTACAACAGACCTGTCTCTCAGGCTGTGGCTCCAGGCTTTTCTTGTAACCTCTTTTTTAGGGTTTGCTATAATTTAGATCCGAATGTCCCACAAAGGCCTTGTGCTAAAGGTTTACTCCCCAGTTCATGTTGCTAGTAGGAGGTAGTGAATCTTTTAGGAGGCTGGGCCTAGTAGAAAGGGGAGCGGTCATTGGGGCATGCCYGCAAAGAGGATATTGGGACCCCATTCCTCCTCTTTCTCATTCACTGCGGCCTTGGATGGATGGACTTCCTCTGCTGTTTGCTCCCTCCATGACATGCTGCCTTGCACAGGTCCAAAAACTATGGATTCACCTGATCTGGATCAAAATTGAGAGTCAAAACAAACCTTTCCTCTTTTTAAGTTGATAATCTCAGGTATTTTGTTATAGTAAGAAAAAAGCTAACACATTCCTGTCTAAGATAGGAATAAACTCCCTCATTTTGGTCTTCATAATGTGGATCTGTGTGTGTGTGTGTGTGTGTGTGTGTGTGTGTGTGTGTGTGTATTTATTTCCATCAGAGTACACATCATGGTACATAATGGTTGATTACATGCTACTGAGGATGCTTGGTAACTACCTTGAATGGAACTGATAGGAAAAAAGGCAAGACTGTGACCTTAGGTATAGATTGAAAAAAATGCTAAAGCTATTTTAAGTTRGTGCAAGCTTAGCTTCAGAGAATTTTTGAATCATGCCTGTAATCCCAGCTACTCAGGAGGCTGAGCCTAGAGGATTGAGGCCAGCCTTGGTAACTTAGCAAGACCTTCAGCAACTTAGTGAGACTTTGCCTCAAAATAAAAAGGGCTGGGAATGTAGCTCAGTCATAAAGCATCCCTGGGTTCAATCCCCAGTGCCTTTCTACCCCAGCTCCCAGAATTTTTCTAAAAAAAAAAAAAAAGAATTTTTGAGCTAATTAGATCCAGAAGAAATATCTAATCCAAGACTTTCATTTTACAGTAAGGAAAAGGGGCTATATCTCTTCTTTTGTTCAACGTCCCACATAGAATCAGAAAATCATTTAATTGGAAAAAAATATTCTTTCCACTGAATTAGCTGATTGCAGAAATGGATGGGAAATCATAATTTAAATAGTAGAAGTCTACTGGGCAACACACTTTACGTACTCCTCCCCCATGCCTTTGAACTTGGTACAGATAGAAACAGGAAAAGCAAATATTTTGAAAAAATAAAAATTTTTTTCAAGAAGGAAGCAGGGTAAAGTTCTGGGCACCCTGTGTCACCAAGGCGTTGCCGTCTGTAGCTCAAGACAAGAGTGGTGATTCAGAGCTGTGAAACAGGCTTTCTCCGACATCTCTGGAGAGCCCAAAATGATTTGGCCCTCCTGGTAGGGAAATGGCAGGGTTTTCTAAAAGCTACAGAAGAACTGAGCCTTTGACAAAGCAATATCACTTGGGAATCTCTCCTACAGACACTTCTGCATGGGCATAAATGGCATAAGTACAGATTTTTATTGCCGTGTTGCTTTATAAAAAAGACAAGCTGCAGCCCAAATGTCCAGCAAGAGAGAGGTGAGCAGTGCACATCCACACCCTGGGACCCTGCTTAGCTAGGAGGCAGGGCAGCTGGGATGCAGGAATAGCTTGTGCTTATCCTGAAAGGCTATACAGGCTAGTGCTACCACCGGGCATTCCAGCTCTTTCTTTAGGGGTCTTAAATCTTTTTTGTGGCAGGCTGGGAAAGCTTATGGAACCATGGGTCTCTTTTAGCATATTGTGGTTTGTCTGATCATTTTCTTTTTTCAGGGTTGGGGAGGTACTAGGGATTGAACCTGAGCTATATCCTCAGCCCTTTTTATTTTTGAGACAGGCTCTCACCAAGTTGCCCAGGCTGGCCTCAAACTTGGGATCCTCCTACATAGCTGTGATTATAGGTGTGTGCCACCAGACCCTGCACTTGGTTGTACTACTTCTATTTCCTAAGGTTTTTTTAAATGCATGTCTACTATATTTGCATATAGTTGTCTTTGTTTTTTTTCTAGTTTCTCTATCCTAAGTACTAACTTGGGGATTGTTTTTTAGAACTTAGAAGTCTCAGAAGAGTCAGATCAAAAGAATACCTTTGTCAGTCATTGAAAAAAACAAAGTCAACTTGAATATTCATTGTTATCTTGGGTAAGTCACCTTTGCTTATCTCACCTTATATCTTAGTTAACATTTAATAAGTAACTTGGGATATTGATAATGTGGAGTCAAGGCCATGCATTCGTTTGGCCAGTAATTCTCTTTTTCGCTTGGCCTATTTATACTGTACATACCTTCTAAATTCAGTCAAAGTATAATATCTACTTGTGAGAGAAATACAGATTAAAAGCTCTTATTCTGAGTACATAAAATTTTAAATCTAAGGAAGTTAATACATAATTCCAGCTTTAAAAATCAGATTCTAAATTAACATTTCAGTCTCTCACCTAGATGGCTCTCTGATAAGAAAAGTGTTTCTGGGGTTTCAGGTTTCATCAGAAAGTGGACAGACCGAGTAAGCACTTTCTTGGTTTGCATCTCCTGTATCAGACTTTCATGTCAGGTGCACAGTTACTTCAGAATTCAGTTTGATACGGCAACGGTATTGCCCATCTCTTCACCGTGAACATAAGAGCTGGAGCTGGGAAGACAGGAAGTTGAGTTGCCCCAGCTCCCTGTTCCTCTCCCTCTTAAGCTGCTCTCTTGCTAGGGAGTTTTGTATTTGTAACACGTCACATGACCTTATGCTGCTGGAACCAGGATGTGTGGTGAATGTCTTCCACCCTGGGAGCTTCAGTGCTGTCTGGTGCTTGCTGGTTTTCACTGTTTGCTCTGTTTCCTCCCCCAGCGCCAGATTTCTCATCTATATGGAGGACAGAAAGCAGACATCAATGTGACTTCACCTTAGAACAAGAGATGACTGTGATCCTTCACAGGCAGCATTTAACACCAAAGCGGAGCAGAAACTAAAAGTTTATTTTTTAAAACATCTGTTGTTTTCAGTTAACCATTTTCATGTCTAAGAAATATTTCCATTTGTAAAGTGAGGCCTTATTGTATGTACACGGAGTTAGAATTATGCTGAGAAGGAAAAAGGTCTCTGTAAAGGTGCAGGCTGTAGCTGGGCACTGGAGACTCTTCACATGGGAGGTCAGGTGAGCGCCTGCGTGTAGATGCCACCTTACCACCTGCTTTCCTAAACCCTGAACATCAGAGTCAGCTCCAGATATATGAGGAATAATTTTCTCTTCTCATACAATTTTAATGCTGGGCTTTGCTGTGTTAACAGACATGAGATGATATGATATAAAATGTTTTTAAGGGAAAATATCACCTTGGAGGCTGACAGGTGAGGTCCATCTGTCCTAAGCCAGCAGAGCCCCGTCTTGTCTGGGTCCGTAACTCAAACAAAAGCTTGCTGGAAAACCAAGTTTCATATGAATTTTTTTTATATTAAAGGACTAAAACACTTCCATTTTAACTTGTAAATTTTATTTTTTAAAGAATATAATGTGTGCTCTGTGTTCCTTCTAAGAGAACTGATCAGCTTCAGTCAATAAAAAATATTTTTAATACTAAAAAAAAAACTTTTGTTTTTTTAAATTATATAGGAATAAAATAAGGAAGGTGTTATTTTAAACTGAACTGGCAAGTTAATTTCCTTAGGAATGGGAATGCATTTTTTTTTAATCATTGCAGATATCAAAGTTCTGTTGTACTGGATAAATGCGCCTTTGTTGAAAGTTTCAGTGTTTCTTCGGAGATGATTTTCATGAGAGTGGAAGAGCCGCCCCAGTTAGCCTTTTTAATTAGGGTGCTGAAAAGAGAAGTTGGGCAAGGTTTGGCTGCATTCTTTATAAATACTTGCTTTCTCCCCAGGCTAGTTGTTCAGAGTAAGATTGAGAAAGGTGTAGTTGATCCCAAACCAGCGCTTGCCAAGTCGGGTACATAAACTACCCCTGGGGTAGGCTGGCTTCCAATCTGAGAATCAGAATATTAAATTTTTCCCTTTGTATGACAGGTTTGGGATCACACACATCACCCTGTCTACTAGAAAGGGAATACCGACGAGATGCTAATAGGAAGATTTTAGGAAACTAAAGGATTTTTTTTTTTTTGTACCTGAGATTGAACTCATAGGCACTTGACCACTGAGCCACATTTCCAGCCTTATTTTGCATTTATTTAGATACAAGGTAGCAAGACCGTGTCCCAAAATAAAAAATAAAAAGGGCTGGGATGCAGCTAAGTGGTAGAGTGCTCCTGGGTTCAGTCCCCAGTACCAAAAGAAAAAAAAAGAAAATATAAATTTTCTTTTACAGGTACCCACCTGTAATCTCAGTGAATAGGTAAGCCAAGGCAGGAGGATCTTAAGTTCAAGGATAGCTCCAGCAACTTAGTTGAGACCCTGTATCAAAATATAAAATAAAAAGGGCTGGGAAAATGGCTCAATGGTAAAGCACTCCTTGGTGCTTAGCACCTCACTTTTGCTGGGGCTGCCCTTGAACTTGGGATCCTCCTGCCTCAGCCTCCCCAGCCACTGGGCTTACAGGAGGGCTATCATCATCATTCTTTCTTTCTTTCTTTTTTTAAAGAGAGAGTGAGAGATGGGTGGGGGAGAGAGAGAATTTTAATATTTATTTTTTAGTTTTCGGCGGACACAACATCTTTGTTTGTATGTGGTGCTGAGGATCGAACCCGGGCCGCACGCATGCCAGGCTAGTGCGCTACYGCTTGAGCCACATCCCCAGCCCGTCATCATCATTCTTAAGACCAACAGATCATTTTAAGAGGAGCCACTGAATCATGCTCTGATTTGTCTGCCAGCAATCATCTTGGCATTGGAAAAATCACTGAAAAAGAATTTGTGAACAGATTTTTAAAACAGAAATAGAAGTACCTTAAATAAAGTTCTGAATCAAGTTGATCATAAACACTAAGAACAATTTGAGCCAAAAGGTGCCAACAGCTCAGAACCAAGAGGCAGCATGGGATGAGGCTGCCTGGCTGTCTTCGGGAGGCAGGCCAAGGGTGGAAACCTTGTCATGCTCTGGCCTACTGATCCTGGGTTTGCTGTGGCCCTGACTTTAGTCTTCCCTCTATGGTGACACCTGTAGCAAGCTGTTGGCTTTGTAGTTGCTCAATGCCATTTCCTATGAGCCAGTTGATGGTGATTCTGTTAGGGCACATTGCAGGAAGGTTCATCATGCTGCTAAGCCTTGGGGAGAATTATCGCAGCAGCCTCTGGTGTGCTGGAGAACAGTGTATACCATCAAGTTAAGAAACCAGACACGTTTATCAGGACTGCAGTTGATGAAGTAGGTTAAAACCTGGATGGTGTCTCAGGAGCTTGTTAATCAGCCCTGTGAAGGAAAACTTCTAAAGGTTCTCAGCCAGTGCATGCTTGGGAAAACAACAAAAGAACAAAGCCATTTTGAGCACGCAGTAGGGCTTTGCTGGCTCCTAGAGACACAAGAGTGAGCAGAGCAATCCTTGCTTATATCCTAATCAGGGAGACAGACCTTAGTAAAAACATCACATACTAGGTCATGAAGACTGGTAAGTGTTATGAAATAAAGCTGTGTACAATTAGGGACATAGGTCAGGCTTCCCTGAAGAAATGACATCTGAACCAAGAGCTGAAAGATGAGTAGGTGCTAACCAGGCAAACAGGAAGAGGGAGATAATTCCAGACCATAGTAATAGCATGTGCAATGGCCCTGAGCTGGAAAAAAGTGATGCATTTAGAGACATGATGAACCAGGATGGTGCAAGATGAAGCTGGATAAAGAGTGGGGCCAGATCACACGTGTGCATCAGTGAGGCATCCTGGGCGTTGCAGGACATGTCCTTTTAGTGAATCCAAATGATATAGATGCTGTCTAGTTTTTCCCAAAATGGGGTCTGATTTACAGCCCAAATGCATTGTATTTGTGATACCTTGGAGGGAGAAATAAACAATCCTCAAGGTGCACCAAAATGGCAGGAAGAATCAGTTCTCCTGAAGATGTTCTGGAAGATGAAGGATGACATTTAGGATGGGGTAGTTTGTATCCTTGTATTCCTGGAATGTGGTTTCATGAAATAATCCTTGTATTTCAGTGTCCCACTTTATGGGGATTGCTTTTCTCTTAACCTCTCATTTCACACCCATACACTCAACGCTGCCTTGTGCCAGAGGCCCTGCTGGGCATTGAGTATAGCACTATGCCAGACAGGTCCTTGCCCTCCAGTAGCTTAAAGTCTCATCACACAAATTGAAACTCATGGAGACGAACTAACAAAGTGCTTGGGTCCCAAAAAGCAAGCAATGGTAGTGTCCTTGTAAAAGTCACTGGCTACTGTTGCACTGCCATGGGCTTCCCTGTTTGCTGAAGAGCACTGACTTTGAAATCAGGCCAATCTGGGTCTAGATCCTGCATGCCCCATTTACTAGTCTGAACTTAGGTTCCTTCTTAACCTCTGAGCCTGTTTCTTGGCTAAAAATACCATCAGAACTTTAAAGAAGATTAAATGAGATACTGCTGACCAAATGTTGAGCACACTAATAAGCTCTGTATTTATAAGAATGTTAAACAGCTGCTAATGTTAAATCACTGTGGCAGAGGTTGTTGATCCAGAGGGGTTGTGGCCTCTTGTACATCTTTGAAGGTTACAGATAATTGCTTCTGTCCCATGACAGAAAAGGAGTCCGAGAAACATCTGGCACAGAGCAAACAAGCAAGCCCCTTAGTTGTTAGGGCTTTGATTCAATAGCTGAGGATTAAAGATGAGGTGATACATGTAAAGGTTTAGCCCAGGTCCTAGCAAATAAGCACGCCGTGAATATTAGCTCTTGCTATTCTAGTTATGCTGGTAAAGAAGCTTTTCATTGTTTGGAATTAGATAATTAATCACTCTCTTTGGTGGAGGGGAAAGAAGAGCCTTGTCCAGTGCAACTTTCACATGTTGGTGTGAACAGTGAGGAACTGAAGAGGGGACAGAAAGGGTCCCTGTCCTCAGAGAGCTTCAGTCTGATGGGAGAGACAACTCTCAGGCTTTGAAAAGCAGCATTTCCCCTCTTAGAGGTAGGTTATCCTTCATCTCAAAAGCAAGGAGACTCATTAGTACTCTTATGGGGGGACCTCACATCTACACTGATAGAGAAGCTAAGAACAGCGGAAACAAAGGAGCCACCTGAGCCACGCTTGGGGAGAACTGGGGKTTTATTTATGTTTTTTAGTTTAGTCTTATGACCAATAATTTAAATAACAGCCTTGGAATCTTCCCTGCTCTACTTGGTGGGTCTGCTGCCCCAGCCGGCTTCACCCCGGCACAGTCCCCACCTGGGCTGCTGGGGGAGCGGCTCCTGACACACCCTCCAAGAGTAACAGCTGCATTTGTTAGAGATGCACAGGAAGGAGGAGCAGAACTGTGTTCACTTTACAAATTATGTAAGACCATAAGGGGAAAAAAAATATTCTGGTTGTGCAGCCTTTGCCTAGACTCAGGGAGGCCTGAATTGCCCCATTTTTTCCGTGATCAAGTGTAACTGAACTTTGTGAGTACAGGGATGGGGCAGGGAGCGAATGCCTGTGCCTGCACGCCCAGGAGAAAGAGGGAGAATTGGACTGGGGACAGGGCTGGAAGTCTGGCAGGGCTAGGCGATGTTTGGTCCGGCTGAGTTAGGGAGCAGGGCATGCCCGGTGTCCTTGGGGTTCTGAAGGTCCAGGACCCAGGAGTCCGGCTGGCGTGGGATGCAGAGGCCGGCGTTCCTGGAGTAGGGGGGTGAAGGGGCAGGCGTGTGGGGAGTCCCGGGGTGCAAGGRCGGACTTTCCTGTAATGAGGGTGGCGGGGTACAGGGGTGGGTGCACCGGGAGTCCCGGGGTGCAGGGGTGCAGGGACTGGCGTGCCAGGAATCCTGGGGCGCAGGGGCGGTCGTGCAGGGAATCCCGGGATGCAGGGGTCGGGGGCGGGCGTGCCGGGAGTCCCAGGGGCGGTTCAGGGGCGGGGCGGGTACGCTGGGCCTCAGGCGGGGAGGCGGGGCCGCGGCGGCTCCTCCCCGCGCGGTGCTGCGGCCTCGCGGTGCCTAGGCTCGGGCCGCGCCGGACGCCTCAGTCGCGCGGAGCCGGGCAGGGGCGGGCGGCAGCAGCATGAACAGCATCAAGAACGTGCCGGCGCGGGTGCTGAGCCGCAGGCCCGGCCACAGCCTGGAGGCCGAGCGCGAGCAGTTCGACAAGACCCAGGCGAGCACGGGCGGCGGGCGGCGGGCGGGCGGGCGGCCTGTGTCCGCGCGGCGCGCCGAGCTCCACGGCCCGAGCGCCGGCGCAGGTGAACCGGAAGCCGCGGCGCGCTCGTGGGCACCGCGGCGGGGAGGCAGCCGATAGTCCGGGAAGAGGGGAGAGCGGGGTCGGAGGTGGTCCTGGATCCAGGTGGCCCGGAGCTAGGGGGTGGGGCGGAGGGGGCCTGGAGCGAGGGGGCCTGGAGCGAAGGGCGGAGGGGGCCCTGGATCGAGGTGGTCGGGAGCGGGGGTTG